TTTTATTTATATGAAAATTTGATTATTTTTAGCTTGAAGTGGCTGTCTCAGATACTGGTGATGGTAATCTTGAAATGCAAGCGCCCTCATTTCCATTGACTAAAGCCACGCTCGCATCGCCACCACGATCATCGCGTCCTGTCGCACTCAAAAACAAAAAAGTGCCAAAATTGCCGAAGAAGCTTGGAAAATTGAAATGTGCTATATGTGACCAACATATCTCCAACAAGTGGAACATGAAACGGCACTTAAAAAAACATGAAAAAACAGGATGGTTCTTCAAATGTGACAAATGCCAGTTTCCGTTCACTACCAAAGACGGGTTCAAACGGCACAAGTGTGCTGCAACCGATGACGCCTCATTCACTTTAACGAAGTACCGCCGCTGAGCCGGCCCACCATGTCGATTTAAATAAATAAGACAATAATTAATTGTTGAACAATTGAACTAAACCATAAACATTTTTATAACAAAAACCATAATTCTGAATAAAAACACTAAATGTAAGTGGTAATTTACATGTTCTTTTTTATTTACATTTTCAGCCACTCATTTTCAGTTTTACTCCTTGGGGACTTGGGGAGTAACATAAGAAGTTTTAAAAATATATGGTTTTACTCCGTGGGGACTTGGGGAGTAGTATAAGAAGTTTTAAAATAATATATGGTTTTACTCCTTGGGGACTTGGGGAGTAGTTTAAGAAGTTTTAAAAAATATATAGTTTTACTCCTTGGGGAGTAACATAGGAAGTTTTAAAAAATGTATAGTTTCACTCCTTGGGAACTGCGCTGGGGAGAACTATAGGAAGTACGACGGTTAATTCCTCTTGCGTAAATTGTAGCGATCATTTTTTGATGCTACCTTTTCCTTCTTTTTTCGGATGAGTTTTTGTGGCACAACTCCTTTTGCAACGACAGCTTGTTTAATGTGTCCATTAGATCCGATTGTTTTTGAATGTGAACGCAAAACACGCGAACTTTTTTGTTCAATTTGGTGATTTTTGTTGACTTTGGATTTGGTGATTATTATTGCTTTTATTTCATTCAAGCAAAAAGACACTTCTTCGATAGCTTTCTGTAATTTGATGTTTTTTTGATGTTTCGTTTTTATTTTTTCGATGGTCTCTTCGGTAATAATTTCGAGGTTGTTGAAATTAATAAATCCGCGTGATTTTTCGGGACAAAAAAAAACCACTTCAGCCGTGTTTCCGTTGATGATGGTTTTTATTCTTGCTGGCCATGCCGCGAAACCACGCATTTTGGCAAAAACCAAATCCCCTTCGCTGAAGATTTTTTTTTGTATCTCTTTACCCATTTTGTAAAAAAACGATACAATAGACAAAAAATACGATTGTGATACGAAACGTGATGTTAGTGTTGCTCTGTCTGCTAATTTCTCGCTACTGTCTCACTGTGACTCTCACAAGTTGTGATAATGTCTATTCTGGTTTCAGAATTGTTGAAGAAGTACCGGTAGTTATTCCGCCAATGGCGAATGACGATAACGGTTCTCCACGTGGAGCGGTCAAATGGGTATATAATTCCTTGGGGAGGAATATAATATGAACATATATATGATTAAGGCAAATGACCTTCACCAATGACAATAACGGTTCTTCACGTGACCGGTCAAATATCTCCTTGGGGAGGGATATAATATATAAATGCGGAAACAAGCGTCCTTCGCCAATGAAGATAACGGATCACTCAAAAATTCTGCCATATTCGCATAATGTTTGTTAATATACATGCTATTCAGAACGTTTTTATCTGTCGAAGTGAAAGGTCCTCGATCATAATGAGCCAGCATAACATCGAATACAAGGCAGAGCCTTCGGATTCTAGTTTCGATGATACTACATATCCTACCTATAGTGATGACGAAAATTTTTTGACAAATATTTTTGGAGACCCTGCAAATCAAAATGAAAATACTCAAAAAGTATCAAAAAGACAGATGGTTACACGTCAGAGATCCAAAAGACAACGGCTTGATCAAATGGACAATGGGTCAACACAACCAGTAGCAAAATCCTCTTCAGATTTGGATGATATACCAATACCAAATACTTCAAAAAGTTCCATAAGTGTTCCACAACTTGAAAATACAAGTGAGTTTTTTTTTGAAATAATCTTATACCTATTGCAATCAATGATTTATTAAGAACTTCGAAATCTCCTCGCGGAGTTCTTCTTTGGGAGTTCTTCCTTGCTCCTTGGGGACTCCCCAATGGGGAGCAGTTAATTTCCTTTCTGAACAATTCTAAAAAAATGTCATATCATTCATTTAGACGTTTCGCCAGTTGCGAGCAACTCTAATATACCAAATAGTTCCATGGGTATTCCACAAGTTGAAAATACAAGTGAGTTTTTTTTTGAAATAATCTTATACCTATTGCAATCAATGATTTATTAAGAACTTCGAAGTTCGAAAGCTCCCCGCGGAGTTCTTCTTTGGGAGTTCTTCCTTGCTCCTTGGGGACTCCCCAATGGGGAGCAGTTAATTTTCTTTCTGAACAATTCTTAAAAAATGTCATATCATTCATTTAGACGTTTCGCCAGTTGCGAGCAACTCTAATATACCAAATAGTTCCATGGGTGTTCCACAAGTTGAAAATATAAGTGCTAATATAAGTCCTAATATACCAAACACTTCACAAAACTCTCCGGGTGTTCCTCAAGTTAAAAATATAAGTGAGTTTATTTTTGTTGAAAGTTCTTCCATGGGGAGTTGTTGGGTAGAAGTTATTTTTTTAAAACATGTCTTTTCACTTTTTTAGCTTCACTTATTGAGATGACTGAAGCCAAATTACAAAATGGTGATTACTATCATCGCATCAAGCAAGGAAAAAGGAGAACTAAGGCAACCTTTTGGAAACACATACATGCAATTTTCGAAAGCGGAACGGATATAAAAGTTGATTTTTTATATTATTGTATTACGTGCAAAAGTGTGATTTATAATGCAACCACGACTTGTAATACACAACCTTTTCTCCGTCACATTTGCACGACAAAGGACGATCCTTCAAGTCAACGTTCTCTACTCATCCCCAAGGAGGAGATAGAAATGTTGAAAATGGCCGCTGCTTCATTTGTCTGCAAGGATTTTCGACCATACATAGCCATCGAATGCGAGGGGATGTTAGAACTCTGCACAGCAGTTATGCAATTTGGACAAAAACATCCCAAGGCCAGAGTGCACGATTTAAAAGCAGCACTTCCAACGAGAAATACCGTAAGGAGTCAAGTGAGTCAAATGGCTTCTGATGTACGCAATACCATAAGAAAGTTGATGGAAAAAGCAAAGACTCAACATGGAGTAGCAGTCACCACAGATTGCTGGACCGACAGTTATAGGCATGACTCATACATTTGTATGACTTTGCATGTCAGCCTAATTGAAGAAAATGGCATAAACCATTACAGATACGTCATGTACATGGGTGCCATAAAAGACATGGCCAAGACCAAAGACGTCATCATAAATAAAATCCTGGATATCTTTGCCGAATATGGATATACCAGAGATGACGTCCTAACAAAAGTTACATTTTTGAGCGATCGAGAAGCCACTTTTAAATATGGCATGAAAGATGCCGGCTTCGATCGTCTCAACTGCTATGCTCATATGATATGTAACTTGGTCGAAGCCATGTTGAAGGGTGTACGGAAAATTGTAGATGACGTAAGGGATCTTTGCTCCTACATAAAAAATAGCGGCTTAAATACGCGTTTAAAAGTGACGCTTAAGCCGTTTACCAAAACACGCTGGAATAGCGTATTCATAATGTTAGAGTCTTTGCTTGAATCAGATTTCAACACAATTGCCGAATTATTAATTGAAAAGCAGCGTACATCAAAAAAGGATCTTTTGCATATGATATCGTCCTTGAATAAAGATGATATTAAAGCCATTTGTGACTTCCTCAAACCATTTAAAACTCTGACCGATAAATTGGAAGGGGAGTTAAATGAAACTTTACATATTGTATGGCCAACATACATTACTATACAGAGTCTCCTTGAGGAGGAGGAGGATCCACCTGCTAATCCAGATTCTGCTCTAAGTTTGATTCAAGAAATGAAAAGTATTGGCCGTAAATATTTTGAAACCAACAAAACCGATTTTGCTCCCAAAATACACCACAAAATTGCTGTTGTTCTTCATCCTCGTATGAAGAAACTAACAAAAATGGAAAGTGAACGTCAAGCCACATACGAGGCGCTTGAAGATCTCATTAAGTTATATAATAATGAGATTCTACCTCCTCAGGAGGAAGAACTCTACCAACCAGCGCCGAATAAAAATATACCATACAGCACGTCACTCCTGTCGGAGTTTTTTGAGAATGATGACGTAGAAGAACGAGATGTCAATAACAATGAACAGTCTGAATTGACTAAATATTTAAATTTTATTGACACCGAAAAATTTGTTGACCTAAAAGCATGGTGGTTTAGTCATCGGACGAACTTTCCAACACTATGTAAAATTTTTGCTAGGTATTCTAGCATCCCAGCCACATCAGCACCCAGTGAACGTAATTTCAGTGAATCTGGGCTGATTGTCACTGATCGCCGAAATGCCATCTTACCCGAAAATGTTGGCGATCTTATAATGGCACGGAATGTAATGAAAAATAAAGAACAAAAATAAAGGTTGATAATTGTAGACTATGAATTTAACACTTGAGTTTCATTTTTTAAAAAATTTCATTTTATCCTCCCCGGGGAGTAATTTCTTGAATTTTAAAAAAATTACACAATTTTTAAAAAATCCTTATCGAACGAACTCGAACAATCGAACAATTTATCGAACAAACGAACATATGGTATAAATTATTGTTCGATTGTTCGAGTTCGTTCGATTGTTCGTTCGTTTGTTCGAAAGGCCTTATCGAACAAACGAACGAACAAAAATCCACTTTTTCGCATGTTCGTTCGTGTTCGTTGACACCTTTATTCCGTAGCCGCTAAAACTAATATTCATTCAATATGTGAATTTCAACAACTATTTCCAATTAATAATAATAATACCTTAATATATTTTTGATGTAATCCTTCAATTTTGTCTTCATAAGTGATTCAAGCGTTATCCAAAATAAATAAGATTCCTCGCTTATTTCCATAATGTATTTATTAAATTTAAAACAAAAAATAACATTATTTACCGTGTGTAACAAGCAACATTCTGAATCAGACAGCAAAGTTTGACAGATAGTGACATTTCAAATTTTTTACATAGCACATTTTGACAGTTAAATTAATATCTGATCGTTTAAGAATACTTAACATTCTATTTCAACTTATGACTTTTTAAATATTGTTGAAGAATTTTTTCACAGTTCAAATTACTTCGCTGTACCCAGGAATTATGACGATTGTTGAATCCTTTCCATTTGACAAAAAACATATCTTTTCCATTCTGAATTTTATGATCAAGCAAACCTTCAACTTCAAATTGTTCATCTCGTTTATCATCAGTACTTTCGTCGTTACGTTTTGAAGTAAATTGTTGCATTTTCAAATTCATCTCATCTATTTCTATTTTGTGAGTGTCTTTTGTGTGTTTCAAGGCCGTTTCTAGCTCATAGATTTTTTGTGATTTGTTATCCGAATCATCTTTCATGCGTCGGAGTTCAGTCTCAAGTTGTTGATTTTCAACTTTCAGTGAATCAATGGACGTTTGTTTTTCAACACAATCTGTGCAATTTTCAGTCGGCTGAACATTTACAACTTCATTTGTATACCACAAATCTTCATTTGTTTTCTCCTTCTTAACCTCAAATTCGTATTCTTTAGCCAACAATATTTGTTTTTGAGCAGGCAACGACGATCCCTTCAAATGAAATGAATTAATTATACATAAATGTTTTGAAATTATTACAACATAATAAATAATTCAACAATAATTTTCATACATTTGGATTTTTGATGAATTCATCACACAATGCAATAGCCTCTGAAAATTTTTGTCCACGCCACTTCTTTTCGTACTTTGACTTGTTTTGCAAATAGCTCACAGTGTTATCCATTTGAACGAAAGCACTGCAACAGAATGGAATTTTGACATTTGGCTTTATAAAAAAAATGAATTCATAGATATTGATGCGAAACTTACTAGTTGTCGGTGCCAAAAAAATAAACATAAAATTTCCTTGCTTGCTTCTTTAAACCTGGTGGAACATTAACAATTTTTGCCGGCCAATACGGGCAATATCGAAGTTTGGCCCTATAATTTATTTATAAAATATTTATGTTTAATATATTTTATATATGGTATGAATTTTCTAATAAATGCTTACCAAACAGCTTCTTCCATGATTTGATGGTATATGTTCAACTTGTGATGTGTGAATAGAACACTGTAGCATTGTTGTTCACAAATGTCATTGCTGTCATATATTTATATTCAGCAGTATTTTAAAGTATTATTTGGGATTATTCTTGGACTAGATCGGATTATTTGTATTACATAGATCTAGTACTTTCCCCCTTGCTTTTAAGGTGACCGATCGGACTTTGCCATCCTTGCTTGGGTGTGTT